ATTTGATTTAGCACTTGATCAAGCACTGATGTTTCACATAGTTTGCCAGAAAACAGCAGAATGAGGCATGGTTTTAAAGTTCAGTCTCTGGCAAGGTCTGAAAGGAATTTACAAGGCTAAAGAATTTCTAGTCCCTCAGTCCCTCAACCCAGGTTCAGATGTGGTTCCTTCTTGGCTTTTCTTATGTGTTTTAAGGCCAGATGTTATTCTCTCTCTCTGTGTGTGTGTATGTGTGTGTGTGTGCACAATGTTGCCTAAGGTGAAAGCAGATGGGGGTTGGGGGCAGTCTTTAGAGACAGGACCATAATATTAGTGGGTTCGCTCCAGACCTCCCGATGCCTGCAGATGGGCCTTTGTTTGCAAAGTCAAAGATTTTACTTTGTCTAAAAAGTTCTGATCAGTTTAAGAATTAAAAAGTAGCCAAGTACACTACACCTCTGTAGCCTATCCCCAGCAGTGACACTCACAGTGTGTGTAAAGTCCTATTTGAGCAGAATTTGTTTACCAGAGGAGATCCGGTAATACAATTAGTGTGTGATTTGACCAGTCGATTCATACAGGATAAAGGTAACTGCTGCACTATCTAAAGTGGAACAGGAAAATTCAAACAAGCAGCTGGCAAATAGGAAGTCATCTTCAGCCTCGTTTGTTTTCTGTCACCTGGTTTTGTTATTACATTTTGTTAATACTGAGATGTCCATTTGAGCAGGACTACTATTATGGAGGAGCTCTGAGTTTGGCAAAAACTATGGACATGACAGATTTGAACTGGATTACAATCACGGACCTTGTCAGTAATCACTCAAATCCCCAGATATACTAGTCCTGCTCAAATAGGGCTTAAGGCTGGTTTTGGTGTGTCAGACATAACATTGTTATTGTTAACTAGTTTTTTTTTTAAAAAACCTCAATGTCTGTCTAAAATAGATGTCTGAAACACTCATACCAGATTCATATACAGTTGGACGTGGGTTGAGAGTGTTTTGGAAAAGAATTACGTAAAACACAAAAGATTTATGTGACTATTGACTTCCAGCAACAGAGAGCCACATTAAAACTAAAGAAGCAAAATTTGGACACCAAACATGTCTTGGCTGATCAACTACATCTGGTTTAAGAGGAAATTTGTTTTTTGCTCAACCATTCATATAACAATAGAAAATGTATGGCCAAGAAACAGAACTTGATCAATGAAAATAACTTTAAGGGGCAAAAAAGAAAAAACAAATTATACTGGAACTCAAAAGTCTGAAACCGGACCCTATTCACTAAACAATGACTCCACACTGTGGACATTTATGCTTTTCCCCCTCATTTTGCATGCCTGATTCAGCTCATTAACTGATTAACTGGGTAGTTGTTATGCACAGCTTTGACGAACGTTGTTTACTTCAGGAGAGCACAGAGTGACCACTCTCCGCTCACCATCAACAACTCCCAAGTTCCTTGGTGTTCACCTAGCGGAGAATCTCACCTGGACCCTGAACACTCATCTCCCACTCATCTCCCACCCACCGTCCTTACCACATTCTACAGAGGTACTATAGAGAGCATCTTGAGCAACTGCATTTCTGCCTCGTTTGGGAATTGCACCACCTCCAACCGCAAGACCCTCCAGCAAATAGTGAGGACAGCTGAAAAGATTACCGGGGTCTCTCTTCCCTCCATCACGGACATTTACACCACATGCTGCATCCAAAAAGCCACTAGCCTTGTGACTGACCCCACACACCTCTCACACAAACTGTTCTCTCTTCTGCCATCTGGAAGAAGGTACCGCAGCATTCGGGCCCTCACAGCCAGACTGTGCAACAGTTTTTTTTTCCAAAGCCATCAGATTCCTCAAATCCCACAGACTGAGTTGAAGGACACCCACACAGACACGCACACACATATACATAACAATATGAGACTAACTCACTCTCTACTTCTTGCAGTTTCAAATTATGTCTGGAACACTGTATTTAAATATAATTAATGCTTTTCACTGAAATACTTCATTTGTTGTGACTGTAGATCTGAATACTTGCATTTTGCACATTTTTTTTACACAATATCTGACTTGCATTTTTGCAAAAATGCAAAATGCGTTTTTGCAAATTTTACTTCACTTTAACAATGTTAGCTGCTAGAATTACTGTATCAATCAAATACTGTATACCATTGCTGTTCTGGTTGCTGTGACTGCTATGCTCATATATGCTAGGCTATCTGCTAAGCTGCTAACATGTTATAGTATGTTACACCCTCCTTTGCACAACTTCACATATTTTCTGTACCATGTACTGCCTGTGTGCTGTTTTGTATTCATTGTAAGTCTTTCATGATTATTTATTGCACTGTATTGTCTGCACTGTGTATATTGTATTGTCTTGCACTTGTGTTCCTGTGTGCACCATGGTCCTGGAGAAATGTTGTTTCGTTTCACTGTGTACTTATATATATATATAACTGAAATTACAATAAAATACAGTGTTTGATCAATAACTAAAATACAACCAGTGTATCGGCAGCTATTATTGTTTTTTGTTGACAAAACTCAGAAACTGGGGGCTCACTGAAAAATCTGAGTTTGAATGCTGGGTTGGCCTCTCAGGCACAGAATCTACACAAGATTCTGTAGACAGACTGACCAGCTGTGTGTCAGATATTTCTCAGTGGATGCTGCAAAATTTTCTACAATTAAATCACGAAAAAAATGAAATACTGATCATTGGTACTAAAACTCAGAGAAAGCTGCTTTGTGAGAAACTTGGTTCTTTAGCTTCATATATCAAACCTGAAGTATGAAACCTGGGTGTGATCTTAGACTCTGAGCTCTGTTTTATCCAGCATGAAACTTGTTTATGCACTTGTTACAAGCAGAGTTGATTACTGTAATGCTCTTCTTACTGGACTTTCTTAAGAAAACGATACATCCCTTAAAACTCGTACAAAATGCATCAGCATGCATCATAACAAAAACAAAAAAAAATCATATCGCTCTCGTTTTGAAAGAATTGCACTGGGTACCTGTATCATTCAGGATAGACTTAAAAGTTCTCCTAGTTTTTAAGGCTCTAAATAACCTAGCACCCACATCTCAGAGTGTCTGTCTGTTTATGTTCCAACATGTGATCTTCTGCAAATACTGGCCTCCTGCAAATACCTTCTGTAAAACAGAAAACTTGGAGAGTTCCACCTTTTGTTAGACAGTCAAACTCAGTGCACACTTTTAAGAAGCATCTTAAAATGCATCTCTTAAACTTAGCATTTAATTAAAACTCTGTCTCTTGGTATTTATCTTTTCATTTGATCTGTGTCATTTTCTTATATCATTCTAAATCAGTACTTATTTCTTGTATTACTGTTAAGCTTTATCATGTGTTAACCACCTTAAGGCACTCAAAGCACCCATCCACCTTTATCTGGTGTTCAAGTAATTACGTCTTTGCCTTGGCTTCTTCATTTGGAGTTTAATGTAGTCCATTTGGATATTTAATTCACAAGATGGACTTTTTATAGCTCTTCTACGATCAGCTAACAGGTACGAATTACTTTTATTTAAGCTTGAGGTCCTAAACTGCTCAGTTTTATCATTTTGGCTAGACAAATGGGTTGAGGACTGCTATTAATGAGTTCTTGATGTGCTTAGTTGTGCACATTAGTTGTGGTTGTTTGGCTGACTGCATAAGAAAGGCCATATATGCTCTGTAACTAATAATGGCTTAATGCTACTCAAAACCATCAGGCAAAATTCGAGGAAAATAAGATCACAGCAGCAGATAGCATTACTAGTGAAATTACACCTTCACAAAACTCTACCTCCACCCATTCTAACACTTGCAAAAGATAAACGTTAATTACAAATGTGATAAACCTATGCTTTATGTGAATGCTTGTGACCTGGGAGTTGGTTGGCTTCAATGACCTACTTCCAGGAATCCACTGTTCTTTAAGAGTTCAAGCTTTTACAACAGTCACACTTGGATTACACCTGAATTACATAGGCTGTATCAAAAGAAAAAGTATTACATGTGTAGATTTCAGGAAATTCAAGTCTTGTAAATCATGAGAAAGTAAATTAGGCATTATACCATTTCATGGGTCATACTCATAGGTCTACACTGACTCATTGAGCTGTTTCTCTCCAACCCTTGTTCCTGTGCTGATAGTGCTGTGTTTTTTTTATACAGGCTGCATACATAGACATTAATTTTTCATGAGAGAAATAAGAAGCTCCACACTCTTTGCTGCATGGATCTATGTTGAATCATTTTATCAGGGGTTAACTGATGATTTAAACCAGCACACCTCTGCCCTATACATCCAAACAATGCCGATGTCAAAAAAGTGCTCATTTGAAGGAAGACCACAAGGCCTTGGGCAGCATTTGGAACAGGACCCTACTGAGTTTTGACTGACCACTGAATTCTAATCTAGTTTTCTGCAGCTAACTCTGGATATGCCGCATTGAGGTCAGTCTAAGACTAACCTCTAAGACGAAGGACTAAGTTTAATGTTTGTTAATAAATTTCTGGAATACACTGCTGAATTAATTTGTCAGCTAATTACAAAATCCTGCATGAGTTGAAGACATTATAGCTTCAACAGGTTGGTCATATATTTTTTTTTTTACATTGTGTAAAATTAAGAGTCTGAATTTATATTCTTACCTTTTTAACTATTTAACCTATCAAGAAGTAATTGATTTTAACAGTAATTGTCTAATCATAAAAGATATGGACAAAATAACGAAATATGTCAACAAAATATTGAACAATACTTTATAAGTAATAGAGCCATCAGACCAGCTTCAGTCATTATTGAAATATGTTGTACAAGTCCTGAAATAAGCAGGATATTAGAGTATGATTTGAAAAGAAAATCCTTAAACTTATTGAAGGATGAAGAATGTACTCTGCTTCTAGAGCTTACTATCAATTTTCAGTAATATTTAGATCTGGTGATTCAGGTGGTCATATTATAAGGCATTTAACTGTATGAAGCATTTAACACCTATGCTGATCAACTATGCTGAACTTATGAGTCCCACAAGAGGTCTGTACCCTTGTGGATCCATTGGGTGAAGGGCTTTATTTTTTTTTTCCGAAGACAGACCAGCAGATGCAGCAAGATACAAGGTGAAAAATTTGGTCAGATCGAGACTGTCCTCACTGCGGAACCAAAAGTCCAGGGGGTTCGGCTGGATCTAATCCAACTCCTCCCACGTCGTGTTCGTAGGCCTACAGAGCGGACTTTGTACCGGAATGTGAAAAAAGCTTCTCGAGTTTTGACAAATGAGTGAACGTCGTGAACCATGAGCGATTATAAAGGATGTGTTGTGACATTCAGGACGTAGCAACATCGAGAAAATAAACAAAAACACCAGCAACACCTGCGGGTTTCCCACAGGCAAAAACACGACAGGGTAGACCAATGAAATGAGTCGTAGGCGGAAAACGTACACGACACATACTAGTTTAAAGACTAGAAGAAGTGCAATGATTTTAGACCAATGAAAAGAAGACGTGGGCGGAGTTGGATCAGGTCCGGCTCCACCCCTTTGGACTTCTAGTTCTGCAGCGAGTGATAGCTGGAAAAAGAGGGTGATTTATTCATTTATTTATTTTGAAATAGTGGGGTGATACTGTGCTGCATTCACCTTTGATTACATGACTGCAAGATCAAGGACAAAACAATTCGTAACAAAAACAATAAAGTTACTGCATTACAAGCTTGAATCCATAACATACTGCTTCAATAGCACAGATTACAGACCACTTCTAATGCGATATCCTTCTGTTTCATAGAGCTAACGTTATTTGAATCCAAAACGGTAGGTGGCAGTAAACGTCTCTTTTTTCAGTCTGCAATACACATTACGAAGAAGAGTTCACACTTGCACTGCTAACCGGTCTTTGAACTAACCTGTTACCAACATAACATAGGATAAATATGTGAATGGTGCGTCTTTGGTGAGTTTACGCAACATCCTGATGTAAATCGTTATCTAACAAAAAGCTGGTCAAGTTCGACAACGGGAGAGGGGAGAGAAGAAACAAGGATTCTGAAACTGACTGTAGCAATCTTGTAAATACCCACTGCCTTCGGACCAGCCGCTATAGTTTTCTCTCAGGAGCGTATTTAAATATAGAAAGGTTGAATAGTAATTAGATGATGGTAGATTGATATAATAATTTGTTTGTCTTTACTGAAATAAATTAATTTGCGTACAACATAAATGTTTGCTAATAGTATTTCATAATAGTAAAAATAGAGATCTTTGCAACGCGGATCATGCAGCAGTGTATGATGGGAAGGTTTTATTTTTACATAATCAAGAGACGTCATTAAAAACAACAAAAAAGCCTTACTGTTCTATTTTTAATTGGAGATAAGTTGGTAAACTTAGCTATAAGAAATCTACTTTCTAAAAATATAAATAACACGACGTGTGTCACCTATATTCACGGATACAGTTTTTTGTTAAATAAAACCAATCACTAATAAAAGGCTAGTCTACTTTGGTAGTACGAAGGGTAAACAGACAGGGTCTTGTGTTTATTGATTGTCATGTAGCCATGTAGTTACATGCAGACAGTTGCTATTTAAATGTCAGACAAGGTATTTCTATTTTTATTTTGGCAACCTGATTATAACTCTCTATTATGTGTGTAACGTGTTTTAGTGTGTAACACTGTAAATTATCAAGTTTGTATTATTATTCATGTCATTTAAGAAATGTACGAATTTTTTGTTATTTATTTTTCTATAATTAATTCCTCTCAAACGGTATAGTAATAAATTCTACTGTTACCTTCATACACAGAGTATTTCTTCCAGGCAGTCAGTTTTCAGTCGTCGTTGATTTTGCTGTTTTTGTTCTTAACCACAGTTGGCCACTAGATGGCACAATAATCTTAGTTTTAAGTTATTATTTTGGTCCCAGGTCTGGCAGATCACAAAAGTTTAAATCGTTAATTTATACAATTTTAGCGATTTCCCAGCCTTTATTGATTGCTTAGCCCACTTATAACAGTTTTTCCTTTATTAAATGAAAAAGAGAAAACATTTTTGTAGGCCTACAGCTTGGTTACAGCAGGGAAAATCTAAGAGGAGGTTAATATTATAATGCAATATTTCTGTGCTTGCAAATCAACTCATCTAGCCTGGGTTCACTGTTTTTCTAAAGTAGAGACTACCAAAAAGTGTATTATAATCATAATATGCATTATAATAGAATTCAAATAACAGATGGCCAAACATAGCCTGACATGAAAACATACAATCTTTTCTTCCCATTTTCTTTGTCACTGTATCTTTCCCCACTAAAATTCACATCATTGTCCTTTATCGTCCTCCTTCTCCTCTAGGCTACTTCATTGATGAGTTAGACACTCTTCTGAGTCTCTTGCCCATCGATGGAACCCCGCTCATACTTCTGGGTGACTTCAACCTGCCATCGGACAAGCTGCAGTCATCCTGCCTGTTACCACTGCTATCATCCTTCGACCTCACCCTCAACCAGACTCCTCCGACGCACAGAGCAGGCAACACTTTGGACCTGATATTCACCAGACCTACCTCCGTGCTGGATGTCACAGTAACTCCCCTTCACCGCTCTGATCACCACTTCCTATCTTTCTCACTCTTCCTACCTGCTGCTCCTGTCCATTCCACCCCCTCACGCTCCTCCTCTCGATGCAACCTGCACTCCACTCCTTCCTCCTCTTTCGCTTCAACTATCCTGACCACCCTTCCCCATCCTGATTCATTTTCTTCTCTCTCACTGGACACAGCTACAGATGCTTTCCTCTCCTCACTCTCATCTGCAATTAACTTTCTGTGTCCTCTCTCCTCAAGGCCAGCAAGATCTTCCCCACCTGCCCCCTGGCTGACAGGTGTCCTGCGCAGCAACTGGCAAGAACTAAGGAAGGTTGAGAGAAGGTGGAGGAAATCCCAGCTTGACTCGGATCTTCACTCCTATCAGTCTCTCCTTTCCAAGTTCTTACTCGAAGTTACTGCTGCAAAGTCATCTTTCTACGGAGGCAAACTGGAATCATCTGCATCTGATCCACGCAAGCTCTTCAGCATTTTCTCCTCTCTCCTCAACCCTCCTCCTCCCCCTCCACCCTCTTCTCTCACTCCTGAGGATTTTGTCACCTTTGAGGAGAAGGTTGATAGAATCCGCCAGTCTTTTGCCAGTCCCCACTCCTTCCACTAGACCTCCTCCTCTTGTTCTCAATCCCTTAAACTGTTTTTCTTCTCTTTCCACAGATGCTGTCCTTCAACTGATAAAATCCAGTAACCCAACCACCTGCCCACTGGATCCCATTCCATCCGCATTGTTCCAGTGAATCTCGAAGGATCTACTGCCCTACATCACTTTTCTCATTAACAAGTCCTTGTCATTAGGTGAAGTTCCATGAACTTTGAAGGCTGCAAGAGTACTTCCCATCCTGAAGAAGCCCACGCTTGACAGCTCTGATGTCAACAACTACAGACCGGTATCACTCCTATCTTTCCTTTCAAAAATTCTTGAACGTGCAGTCTATAATCAGCTGTCTCTCTTTCTCACACAGAACCAGCTCCAGGACCCCAACCAGTCTGGCTTCAAACCAGCGCACTCAAAAGAAACTGCTCTTATAGCAGTGACTGAGAAGCTCCAGTCAGCAAGATCAGCCTGTCTGTCATCTGTCCTGATTCTTTTAGACCTCTCAGCAGCTTTGACATGATCAACCACACAATCCTTCTGGATGTTCTCACCAACCTTGGAATCACTGGCTCTGCGTGGAAGTGGTTCAAGTCCTATCTGGAGGATCGCTCATATCAGGTAACATGGAGAGGGTCCACATCCTCTCCACGCAGGCTCTCCACTGGTGTCACACAAGGCTTGGTGCTAGGTCTTCTTCTCTTTTCTCTTTACACTAGCTCTCTTGGCAATGTAATATCATCTCATGGCTTCTCTTATCACTGTTATGCTGATGACACTCAACTAATGCTTTCTTTCTCACCTTCTGACACACAGGTTTCCAGTCGGATCCAGTCCAGTCTGACATCTCTTCATGGATGGCAGCTTACCACCTGAAGCTCAATCCTAGCAAGACTGAGCTGCTATCCATCCCTGCAACTACAGGTCCTCATCATGATCTTGCCATCTCATTCAAGAACTCTCTGATTGTCCCGTCTGTAGAGGCAAGAAGTCTTGGTGTGGTTCTGGATGGCCAGTTATCATTCTCGACTCACATCGCGAACCTAACTCGGTCATGCAGATTTCTCCTGTACGACATCCGGAGGATCCGACCCTTTCTCACTCGAGAGGCCACTCAGGTGCTAGTGCAGTCTCTTGTCATCTCAAGGCTTGACTACTGCAACTCGCTCTTGGCTGGTCTTCCAATGCAGGCCATCAAGCAACTCATGCTCTGCAACTCATCCAGAATGCAGCAGCACGGCTCGTCTTCAATCTCCCCAAGTTCAGCCACGTCACCCCACTGCTGCGCTCCCTTCACTGGCTTCCTGTAGCTGCACGCATCAGATTTAAAACCCTTATGCTTGCCTACAAAGCCAAAAATGGACCAGCCCCTCCCTACTTGATGGCAATGGTGAAATCTCAAGCCGTTCCATGAGCCCTTCAAGCTTCAAGTACAGCTCGGCTTGACTGTTCGTCAAGACTGTTCTCTGTGCTGGCACCCAGGTGGTGGAACAAACTCCCACTGGCTGTCCGTACAGCAGATTCTCTCGCTGTCTTCAAACGCAGACTGAAGACACATCTCTTTATACAGCACTTAAATGAGCACTGAATTAAGTATTGATTATAATGTATTGTACTGCACTTGTGTATTGTATTGTATCGTATTGCACTGCTCTGTGTTTAACTCCTTTTTCTCTAGGTGTCAATAATGACTTTCTGATTCTAGCAGTATCTGAGCTCAGGACTGGCTTTCTCTCTAACCTATTGGTAACTAGCAAAGATACTTTCTCTGGATAGACAAAGCACTTTTTGTAAGTCGCTCTGGATAAGAGCGTCTGCTAAATGCTGTAAATGTAAAATGTAAATTTTCTTCAGTTCAGTAGATTTATACATCCTGTACTTGCTGCACTTTATTTTCAGTCGCAACCATTTCGAGAGTTACATACATGTATCATAATATTTTACACGTGAAGCTGTGAAACAGGATGGTTTCCTATTATAATGGGTCTTTATAGGGGAATTCCAACAGTTTTCAAAATGAACAGTAATCAAAGGAAACAAAGCAACAATAATAGATATAATAAAAGAGAACAAAAACATAACAATAACAGTAAGAATAAAACGTAAGTAAAAACAGGGAAATTATGAAAAACAGTTTGTAAAAAAAATGTCTTTTGCTGCTAAACATTTTGAACTGATGTTGCCTGTCTAATCTCAACTGGTAGATTATTCCATTTTTTGAGTGCTTAAAAACAGTTGCCTCACCATATAATTTTTTGTAAACCTTCCCATATAGAAATCTGATATATGGCCATATGCACACATATCATATCAACCTGGATTGGATGTAGATACATAGAAACATGAAGCTACCATATATAAGTCATATTTGTCATCCATGTATGAATAATGGATAACACTTCATTTTGAGTGGTCCTTTGTAGATGATCAATAAACTCTCAACAGACTATCAATAACATATCAACAACATTGCAGTAGTCAAAGAAGTGAAATACTGGATTTTACAGTAATTTGTAAAATTACTTTGTAATTTGCTATTATTTGCAGAGCGTGTTGGGAAAATAGCCGGTGCTTTGTACAGTCTTGAGCAGCTTGACTCTGAATATTGTAGTGATGGTGGGGCTTTCCAGCTTTTTGGTAATTTCCTTTTATCTTTTCTTCTACAGTTAATTTCATATGAGTTTTTTGTTTTAACATGTTATTCCTACCTCCAATATATGTTGGAATGCATTTGATATATGTTGTTACACCAACCATGATGGTTTTCTGTTTCGGTTAACTAGTTCATCCTGTAATGTTATGATTAATAAATGCTTGGTTACTGCCATCTTTGTAATCTTGACGACTGCTTTTGGTGCAGTAACTGCTGTAATGTGATGTTCAGTTCATGTTTGTATCATGATTGTTCCCTTAACCATACATGAAAACTGATGTATTTGCTATTGAAACTAGAAAAAATAGTGCTGGTAGTTCTTATTGTTCTTGTTATACTACATTATGTGGTTAAACTGAGAAGACTCAGATAGCTGTGGGTCCACATTAGAGCGCAAGTAATCGGCTGTATTCAGAAATACATTAAAGTATTATAATGGTATTATACAGTATGAATACTGTAAATAAACACTAAATTGCCAGAGAAATTGCTGCCAGTAAATTACTGTAATTTTACCCTGAATTTGTTTACAGTGTATGTCCTTCTCAGTTAAATAATTATATATTGTACAGGGAGATTCACGCGAAAGAGACCCTGAATATTCTGTTGTAACTCCCGTTAGGATGAAGCAATCTGAACCAAAAAAATACACTACATACCTTGATGTATGTGTAATCGATTGTATTACATGCAATGCTGGAAGTGATCTCTGTTTTCTGCCAGACACATGGAGGGGTATGGGGGTATGCACCCAGAAGTTGCAAACGGAGGTTAAACGTCGCAATGGCTGTCCAGTGCCTACTCCATCGCGCTGATGCAGGGGCATCCCAACTTGTTCGAAGCTCCATATACTGAGGAGCACATTGCACACTCTTTCGTTCAGATTGCTTTGTCCTAGAGAGAGTTATTACAGAATATTCGGGGCCTCTTTCGAGTGAATCTCCCTGTAGTTGTTCTGAACATGTACACACACTAAGACACTGTTAAAAAAGGTTGTAGTGTTCAAACAAACAAAAAAATCTGTATTCTGGATATTCATGTAAACTCAAGTTTTTCATGTGCTTGAGTTTGTTGACTTAATTTAGAAATTACATTCTCTCAAATTTTTAAAACTAGAGATGGAACTTTTATTACTCTTATTAATTAACCCTCATTACTAGAACCTTATTACAGGGTTACCTAAAAATACTCAATAAAATTCTCATATTTTTTCTCCTTCCTAAATGATGTGCTTTAAAGCCTTTAGTTGAAGGCCCACTGCAGGCAGTTAATGATATTACAGCAGAATGTCTAGACCCTTTTTAGGCATGTTCAGGCACCCCAAAATTAAGTCTTAGCACCCCTAAAACCCCTTTTTTTTAAACGAAAGTTTGTCTCTGATAAGCAAATGGTATGATCCACTTTCTCTCTCCTACCATTCCCCCTCTGTGTAGCAACAAGCTGCTTGTTAAGGAACTGTGCCTCTTTGCACTCATGAATGTATTTGCATACTGCAAAAAGGTCTGCAACAGTGGGGCAGATTATTAACCAACATTGCTTTCGGCACAACAATTTCATTGTGCAAGCTCATACCATTTTGCTCTGCGCCTGCAAGCACCTGAAGTGGCTTCAAGACAGAGTGGTCAAGAAAGGATGCTGATTTTGGCAGGAGAAATGATTTCTTTGAGAGAATCTCATCTCAATCTCCATAATAACTCAGTGAAGAATTCTAAACACAGCTCTTTTAAAAGACAGATTTGGAGTGCTAGTTTGGCCATCAGAGTCAACATGCCTAATAGTTGACAAGACAACACTAGTGTCATGCTGTGAGTTCACTGTCCTTCTCCTCTTGGTAGGATTGGTATTTCCACATTGAGAGAAATGCCCCTCCCAGAATAAGTCACATCTCATCGCCTTTCGGTGTCTCCAGTGAAGCAGTCACCACCTCTCCTGCAGTGCACAGATCCACTGTTTGTGCCTGCAGAATTGATTTGGCTGGCTTTAGTGCATCAAGCACATGGAGGAGAAATTTGCCAAGGTCAAAGGAGTTCTGTCTGTGTCAAAAGACCACATGTGTCTGTGCTGAGATCAAAAGGAGCACTGTCATCTTTTGCTACCTCTGACAAAAGACTTTGATACTTTTATACTTTCCTCATTGTCAACAACAGACTTAGAAACATTATGATGGCTGGTCCAGGAATCTCAAGTAGCCTTTTAAGTGTGGAAGTACCTGTACCTATGAGCAACAGAATGTATGTGACAGAATGTGCTTAATGAATTAGACATTCAAAGAACTTTTTGGCAAGAGATTGTGACACCCACAAAGTGTGGTCACTTTTGTGATAGTATGTTTTCTTTATATTATTATTATTGTTAGTTACATTTTGTTAAGTCTACCTCTTCTAATCCTCTTCTCAATGCACTTAAATTTTAAGCTTGGTAATAGAATGCGGGTATCCCTGCTATTCCCTGATGCTACCAGAAGGGGGCAGTGTAACGCTGGCTGTGCTGTGATTATCTACGGTAGTCTTGAAATTTCCTCTTCTAAGAGATTTGATAGCGCCAGTTATTAGCACTTTGAACATGTTTTTCTTTGTTGAGTTCCATGTACCACAGTTATTAAGTGAGCGTCATTTGTGTCTCTGTCTTCGGTACATAATATGTAATGTTATAGACTACATATACGAGCTTTAGCTATTCTTGTAGCATATGGACATCCTGTTGTATTTTAAGAATAATTGTCTCCTTCAAACCTAAAGAAAATGTGAATTGAGGATGCTGTATTCTGCTACTGGACAAAGATGCCTAAATGGGACTGTAGTATGCAGCTATCTCCCTCTGATAGGGACAAGTTCAGCCTATTTTAACATATGTGAGAAAACAAGCTGAGTATTTATATGTTTTATACTGAACTGTGATGTTTGCTGGGCAAAGAACAAAAGAAAAATAGGCAGAGATCTTTTTATAGCGAGAATTGTTTAAATAAACCGAGACCAGAGAGGCATTCTTGAAAGCAAGCCATGTCTTCTGTCTCATCCTTTCAACCCTGTTTTTCAGGGTAAAGTCTGTCCCACGGGTCCCAAGCCTGGTACCTGTAACAAGATGTACCACTGCCAAGTGGAGCTGGTGGTTGTAGCAGTGCACATATGGAATGTTCTTGCCTACTTTTTGTTGCAGCAAAGTCTGCACACCGCCCCTCACCCCAGACATCACTGAAAAGCCATCATAACACTGAGACA